CCTGCTCGACATACAACCACTTGACTTGTGACAGTGTTTTGTATGCCGAATTTCTGGGAAATAAACAACTCTTTGTGATGTACACAGCGTTTATCCTAAACCTTACAGTATAAAACACAGTACTAACAGCATAAAAAGTAATGTAAAAAATGAAATACCAGAATAAAACAATAAAATAAAGTAATTTCAAAAATGTGATGTTGATATTCAGTAGTAAGGTTCGACTTGCGTCCATTTTGACTTATGACCAGTTGGTCGGAACCAAGCTAGGTCATAAGTTGGATGGTAGGTGTATTTGTTTTTTGTTTATCCACATCATCAACAGTCTATCAACATCTTCGAGCATTTGTGATCTCTGTTTTGAAAACATACTTGCACCTTTCGCAACAACAGCTTCCTTGATTGCCTTTCTGTTGGCCAAGATAGTAGCGATGGTTGATTGGGGTTTGTTATACAACCTGGCCAGCTCGGAGACACATACTCCACTCATACTTTGATTATCTCTTTCTTCAGTTCATTTGTAATTCTCACCCTTTTTACCACAGGGTTGGCACTAGAAGCTTTCTTGGGGCCCATGATGGCGTATTTAGCAGTTACAAGCACTAAAAACACTGGAATAATGCAAAATGTATCGCAAGTACACATGGAACCAACCGCAGTGGCTTCTAAACAATGGCACACTAGCTGAAGGCAGGGCAGCTGAGCTGTGCTCAGCCTGGATGGGCAGGCGGACGCATTCGGGGCAAATGATGTTATCTGAGTGTTTTACACCATTGGTTGAGTCAATATTTTTACGCAGACATGCATCGTTAGGCTATTTTATCATTAGATGATGCCAGCGTTGGTCGAGGGTCCACTGTATAAAGATACAATATAAAAAGTAACCTGAATTAATATAATTAACTCCATATAGAATATAATATCAGGGCCCCAATTGTATATATATATATACCGTCCTATTACACATCCCTCCAAACTGCCAGTATCCCAAACCTCTCTTAAGTGCAGGCATTGTACTTCCCATTTCCAGAACTCAAGTCTGGCTATATAAAAATAACTGGTTTCCTTGAATCCCTTCACTAAATATTACCCTGCTCACACTCCAACAGCTCGTCAGGTCTCAAAAACCATTCATCTCTATTCACTCCTATCTAACACGCTCATGCATGCTTGCTGAAAGTCCAAGCCCCTCGCCCACAATCCTCCTTTACCCCCTCCCTCCCTCCCTTTCAAGGACGACCCCTGCCCCGCCTTATTTCCCCTACAGATTTATATGCTCTCCATGTCATTCTACTTTGATCCATTCTCTCTAAATGAACAAACCACCTCAACAACCTTTCTTCATAGAATTCCTCTTCAGATCCACTTCCATCAGTATTAGAACAATAACTTTGGAAGAGGAGAGTCAGAATTTGCCGGGGAGTGAGAGCTTCTTTGCCGCCAGGCATGATGAACAAAGCGTACTGAGAAGAAGTTCCCACAATGCAATGTGGGTGTCCCAATTTTTTGTTTACTCTTCACACTGACCACGCAGACCCATTCTCTTAGATATAGGCCTACCAGCCTTCTCGCTCTAAATTTGAAGCTGCTAGAATTTTGGCATAGATCTACTGCTTGGATCCTGGCTTCAAAGCTGTAGATCTTCGGGACGGACCCTGATGGGTTAATCTGCCTAACTAATGAAATAAGATTGAAATGGTGTTGATTTTTTTCTTTGCTCATTTTCCTCTCATTTTAGGGCACCAAAGGTTTACTGTATTTACATGAAACTACAAGATGTTGCATCACATATCCACTTGCTCAAGTAGTAGTACAGTGGACCCCCGCATAACGATATTAATCCGTTCCTGAGAGCTCATTGTTATGCAAAATTATCGTTATGCGAATGAATTTTCCCCATAAGAAATAATGGAAATCAAATTAATCCGTGCAAGACACCCGAAAGTATGAAAAAAAAAAATTTTACCACATGAAATATACATTTTCCTAAACACAAAGAGAAGGATACATGCACAATAGTAGAGCAGTACATGCACAATATATATTGTGCATGTACTACTATACTAAATGAAGAATAAATGACACCTTTATTGAAGATGCAGCAATGACTGATGAGACACTGTGTCCTGGGAGTGCCTTTTCCTCCTGAGTACTGTAGGTCCTGTTTGGCATTTTCTTCCAGAACAGGCCTTATCACACTGTGTATGCCACTACGATTCTTAAATCTCTCAAACCAACCTCTGCTGGCTTTAAATTCACCAATACGAGCACTAGTTCCAGGCATTTTTCCCTGTTCACCTGGGTGTTAATCGACTGGTGTGAGTTGCCTCCTGGGAGACAAGATTAAGGACCCCAATGGAAATAAGTTAGACAGTCTTCGATGACACTGACTTTTTTGGGTTATCCTGGGTGGCTAACCCTCTGGGGTTAATTGTTTCTTGGTATTCTCAATAAGCCACACCAACAACGGTGCTACAGCAGCAGCAGCAGCAGCTGACAGTGCTACAGCAGCAGCAGCTGACAGTGCTACAGCAGCAGCTGACAGTGCTACAGCAGCAGCAGACGGTGCTACAGCAGCAGCAGCAGCTGACAGTGCTACAGCAGCAGCAGACAGTGTTACAGCAGCAGCAGCAGCTGACAGTGCTACAGCAGCAGCAGCAGCAGCTGACAGTGCTACAACAGCAGCTGACAGTGCTACAGCAGCAGCAGATGGTGCTACAGCAGCAGCAGATGGTACTACAGCAGCAGCAGCAGCTGACGGTGGTACAGCAGCAGCAGCAGCAGCAGCAGCAGCAGCAGCAGCAGCAGCTGATGGTGCTACAGCAGCAGCAGCTGATGGTGCTACAGCAGCAGCAGCTGATGGTGCTACAGCAGCAGCAGCTGATGGTGCTACAGCAGCAGCAGCTGATGGTGCTACAGCAGCAGCAGCTGATGGTGCTACAGCAGCAGCAGCTGATGGTGCTACAGCAGCAGCAGCTGATGGTGCTACAGCAGCAGCAGCTGACGGTGCTACAGCAGCAGCAGCTGACAGTGCTACAGCAGCAGCAGAAGCAGCTGACAGTGCAGCAGCAGCAGCAGCTGACAGTGCTACAGCAGCAGCAGACGGTGCTACAGCAGCAGCAGCAGCTGACTGTGGTACAGCAGCAGCAGCAGCTGACAGTGCTACAGCAGCAGCTGACAGTGCTACAGCAGCAGCAGACGGTGCTACAGCAGCAGCAGACGGTACTACAGCAGCAGCAGCTGACGGTGGTACAGCAGCAGCAGCAGCAGCTGATAGTGCAACAGCAGCAGCAGCATCAGCAGTTGACCATGGTACCACAGTATTTCGATAATATTTCTCACCCTTTTTACCACAGGGTTGGCACTAGAAGTTTTCTTGGGGCCCATGGTCACTTATTTTGCAGATAAAGTCACCAAAAATGCTGTAATAATACGAAATGTTCCGATTGTATGCTTGGATGTTACCGTGGAGGCTGGCTTGTAAATAATGCCACTGGCGGAACATGTGAGGCTGGCTCAGGCCGCACATTAGACGCGTCTCGGACGAATAGCGTTGAGCGGGTTTTTTAGCGGTATGTGAGGCAAAATCTAAGCGATAAAATGTATTGGTATGCGGATTTAACATTATGTGATGCCAACGGTATGCGGGGGTCCACTGTACATGTAAAAATGTAGTGCACTCAGTTTAAGAGTGAAATCTGATCCTGCAAAAAGTGTGAAGCTATTGTAATTACCTGCTGAATTTTGAGTGTTTCTAGTCAGCAAGATCACACTATAATTGCAGTGTTTCATTATTTTTCTAACCCTTTGACTGTTTCGGCCATATATATACGCCATACGAGCCAGTGTTTCGGATGTATACATATATACATGTACTCAATAATTCTAGCGGCTTCAAATCAAGCAGGAGAAAGCTGGTAGGCCCACATGTGAGAAATGGGTCTGCGTGGTCAGTGTGCACTGTATAAAAAAAATCCTGCAGCACACAGTGCATAATGAGAGAAAACAACTCCGACCATGTTTTTGGATTAAAACGCCTACTTTGAGATATATTTTCCTGTAGTATTTATGGTTCTATTCTCTTTTTCTTGGTCTCATTTGATAGAATGGAGAACATATTACAGAAATAGAGATGATTTTGATTAGTTTCACGATAAAAACGTCCTTGAAATTGAGCTCAAAATAGCATAAATGTTCGATTTTTACCATTGTTCAAAAGTAAGCAAATCACACCACACGTCCAATACACGTCAGCTGGGGAGTCTAATATTCTTTCACTAGTGCACTGATATTATTTATACCATTTTTATAATAATGCAGTAGTCTGCATAACAGTAAATCTTCTATTTTTTGTGTGAATAAAAAATCAAAATAGAAAGCAAGATTAATATAAGAGGGACCTGGAGACATGACTAATGAACAGAGGATATGCTATTTTAGTACCAAAAATGTCTGCATTGTTTATTCTGGACTTTATTTTGAAATTGGCATCTTTTTTAATTTGCATGAAATTGGCCAAATTGCCAATTTCTGTCCACTTTATTGGGTAGTTGAAATCGGTAATTGGGTGGTTTCTTGTATTAAGTTGATAGAAAATTGGAGTTCTAAAGAAATAGCTATGAGTTTGGTCGACTGGAACAATGGAATTGGCCAAAAATAGGGCTCGGAGTCAGCAAAATCACCGATGCGCATATATCGCCGAGATCGCTAACTTCGCGGGGGCGTAATTCCATAAGTTTTCGACCAAATTTCGTACTTTTGTTGTCATTACCATTGGGAAAAAATTCTCTCTTATTTCATAAGAAAAAATATTTTTTTTTCCAAAAATTTTTCGACACCTGGTGACACTTCAGGATTCGGGGTTGCGACAGTCAAAGGGCTAAAACTAAAATTTAGTGCAATGTACTTTATATCTCATAGGTTTATAAATCTCTATATTTATTATGAAAGTATTTTATTTTAATGCAAAAATCTACAGATTTTAAATTTCTGTCTTGCAGTTTCTGAAGGAAGAGCTCCAGTATGCTAAAGGCTATGAGAAACGTCAGAAAGTCTTCCATTACAACAATGATCAATATATATCTGTCCGTGAACTTTGGCACATATGGAAAAAGTCAGAGGTAAGTTTTAAAGATTTTTAAGCACAATATATTATAAATGTGTGCCCTGACACTTTCTTATGAATAGATATTCAAATGTTCAGCTTTATAATTGAAAAATCCTCAGCAGATTCATTAAATAGTTTTTATAACATTACTGTAACCTCTTAGGTTTGTTCTATCAAGGTTTATAATTACAGTATATTTTTTTACATACAGTATGGTTTTCTTTTTTTTTTTTTTTGTCTCAGTCTCGACATCTAATATATTTTTATTTGCTCTTGACCCATTCTTTCCTCATTCACAGAAATACATTACAGTCAGTAAATTCTCGATTTCATGGGCAAAGAAGGTGGGAGAAGGTGTTAAGTAATGACATTTGTGACAGAAATGAGCTTGTTTCCCTTTCATCATAAAAAAATGGATGATTCTATAAGCAATGGACTTTGTTGTTTCCAAACCAATGATTTTACAAATTTTGTCCCAAGTTTCCAGAGATCATTAAATTAAGGTCCATTTGAAGCAAGTAATACTGTACCTCTAACATAAAATGACCTAGATAAAGAAGCACATTTGCCATCAATCATTCAATAGCTATCTTGCTAAAAGTAAGTTGACATAAATTTTCAAATGACCTTTGAACTTGTGCTCACAAGTAATGAGGATCTGGTACAGAATATAATGGTATTGAACACAGCAAACTCAGACCACAACTTAATTCAGGTTCAGACCTGCATTTTTGCTGGTCTTGAGCAGCAAAACGTAATTAATTATGAGGGCGTATTAAAAAATCCAACTTTATCAATAAAAACATTAACTGGGATGAAATAAATTATGACCTTACTAAAATATGCTTGGAAGATATGAATAACGTTGATTTGAACCAGTGTCTTTACAAGATGAGCTCAATGGTGCTAGAAGTATGCTCCAGACACATACCATTATGAAAGAAAGTTGAGAAGATACAAGTTAGAAAGAGAGAAGCATTCCCTCTACAGTTGAAGATATAGAATTATAGAACTTCTGAAAAACTGCAGACCTGAAAAATGAAAAGTTCCATTGATTAGAGAGATTGAAAACATTGAGCACAAGCTGAATGCATCATGCAGAATCCAGGAAAGCCAAGGGAAGCATAAGAACCATAAATGAAATTGAAAGAAATTGAAAATACTTTTTCTCAGGCAAAATCCAGAACAAAAAATATTTCCAGTATCAGGACCTTGCTTAAAGAAGATGTCACATATATGTACTGATGACAACAAAGAAACTATGTTCTTGGAGGAGGAGTCTGGATGTAAGACATCCCACAGTCACTAAAACCAGAGAGTGAGAGAGAGAGAGCAAGGGAGTGAGAGAGTGAGGGAGTGAGAGAACAAGTGAGAGTGAGGGTTGTGAGAGAATGAGGTGACGAATCCACACATACAACCTGGCTGTGGGAAAGAATAAACTAGCCAGCCCTTTGCTCTGAGCTCGCCACCTCTGATTGGAATGCTCTTCTCCAAGGTAATGTTGACAACAAAGCGAGTGCCTTCGCTGTACGCATCCTTAATCTACGACAAGAACGCATCCCTCACCAGGAGTATGTGATGAAACCTACAGATCAGCGTTAGTTCGGCTTTCATTGTAGAGAGACCGCTACTGCTAAGTGCAAGGCTTGGCAAAGGCATGAGACATATCACTACCTATAACAGGAACTTGCACACACAAGCCTGTAGGCATATGGGTGGAGTTCAGAAGTGAGCCATCTCTAAGTGGGAGGCAGACACAAAAAAGAAAGCTAGCATGAGGTAGAGTGAGCTCCAAAACCTGGTGGTCTTTGGTCAAGGACAGACAAGGTTATCTGCCTGAACTTATTCCACCTCTAAATCAACAGGATGGGACCATCTCTACTAGTAGTCGAGAGAAGGCTGACCTCTTTGCTGAACGCTTTGTTGCCAAAATGCAAGTTCTTGATCCAGTAAGGGACCTTCTTTGGCTTACTGCAAGAACTGTGTCACAGCTGTCAGTGGTGACAATAAGGCAAGAGGAGGTGCATTTTCTTAAGTCGCTTGACCAAGAAAAGGCTGTGGGCCCAGACAAGTTGTGCCCAAGATTGCTGAGTAGATGTGCAGACCAGCTCTCAGCACCTCTAACTCTCATCTCTCACCACTGCTTAGTACAGTGTAAATGGTCTTCTCTGTGGAAAGAGGCAAAGATAGTTCGTGTTCACAAAAAGAAGAGCAGAGCAGAAATCAGCAACTACAGACCAATGTCACTCCTGTCAATCACTGGCAAGATCCTTGAGACAATAATCTCATGACAAATGACAGATTTTTGACTACCTCGCACTGCTTTGTGACCATCAATATGGCTTCAGGAAAGGTTACTCTGCTGCCTATCTGTTAAACTAAGTGACATCAGTCACTAGATGAATCCGAAGTCAGCTGTGTGATATCACTGGACATTGCTGGTGCTTTTGACTGAGTATGGCAACAAGGATTCTTGGCAAAACTACAACCACTTGGAATTGCAGGCTCTTCACTATGTCTCCTCAGTGATTACCCTCAAGGTAAGTGTAGTTCTCAGTGGGACAGTCAGCAAGACATCCTATCAGGGCAAGTATTCCACAGGAATGCATGCAGTGTTATGGAATGTGACCTCCTCCACCTCATCCCAGAATCCCTTGCATATGCAGACAACTGTACTCTGACATTTACTTATCCAGGAGAGGAAATTCCAGCTGCTTTAAGCTATGTCAATCACCAGCTAAGAGTTATATCAGCCTGGGGAAACTGATGGTAGGTAACATTTGCTCCTAAGAAAACACAAATGATGATGGTCTCTAGGCATTATGATGGTAATGCCAGAACAGTAGTAGGTATGAATGGGAGAATGTTGGTGCCCGAGGACGAAGTTGCTATCCTTGGGGTGAAATCTGACTCTAAACTGACCATGAAGAACCACATAGTAAATCTAGCAAACAAGGTGGCCTGGAATCTCACAGTACTTCGATGTATCTCGCATCTGCTTGACAGTAGAGGTTGTAAGATTCTGTACAAGGCACAAGTACACTCACACCTCGAGTATGCTCCACTTTCTTGGATTGCCTGCCCCCATTTCATATGCATCTACTGGACCAACTTATCTCTCACCTGGACCCAGCCTGGATAGATTTGTCATTTCAGCAGACCCTTCAACACCAGAGGAATGTGGGCAGCCTTACAGTTATGTACAAAGCCAACATTGTCAGAGTACCACACTTGGCTCCACTCTGAGGACAGTAAGAAGTGAGCTTCTACACAACAAGATGGGCAGCAAACATCAACTTCACTCTGGCTGTACCCTTCTCCAGAAGATTGCTTCATCTGAGATCATTTATTCCCAGGGTGATTTGAACCTGGAATGTGTTCGTACAGCATAATGATATCAACGAAATAAAGTCTGTTGATCAAATGAAATTGCTGGCCCACAGATGGCTCCACCTTCATCCTGTTCCCTACTTATATGTATCATAACAATAAAAAGGCTTTCAAATGAGCTAATGTAGGTAACAGCTCTTACCTAGTAAATAAGTTAGGAACCCTGTCCCTAATCTTTTTAAACCCTGTGGATGAGAGAATGAGTCCCACTTAACAGAAGTAGCAGTGAAGTAATTTCAGAAAACTATAAATAATATCAAACACTGGAAGTGTTCTAAGAAGAAAAGATTACTAATCACGTGGATTCATAGCAGTTGCATAACACAAGACAATGTTGGTTTAAAGCAGGTTGCTCATACCTCTTGCAGTTCCTAAACTATTACAAGGTTTTAGATGCACCAGAAGATAAACAAAATACTGTTCACAGACTGCAAAAGCTTGTGACAAAAGCAACCATGGTGTAATATTGCAGAAAATGAGTGCAAAAGGAATAACAGAAAAAATGGGCAGATGGATATTTGAACTTCCTAGTACACAAAACTCAAAGAGCAATAGTGAATCGAGTCAGATCAGTGGCCATCAAAATGAAAAGCTTTGTTCCCAAATTCTCTTTCTCATTCTTATATCTGACAGAAATAAAGCATGGCCTTTACAGATGAGACAAAATTGTTTGAGAGTAGCATCCATTGAAGACATGGTAAACTTCCGAACTGAGATAAATGAAGTTATCCAGAGGGCCACTGACAACAATATGATGATCAGTGAAGACAAATTTCAGTTACTCTGCTATACTATGAGGTTACCTTGAGATGATTCCAGTAATCACTGCCCCCATGAGCTGGTCCCAAACCAGGCCTCCTGGTAACTGTTAGAGTTAGCCACACATAGTCCAGTGTATGCACTACATCCCTGCTGATCAGGAACCGATTTAAGGAACTTGCCATATTCCCTCTTGAATCATGAAACTATAATAACACGTTTGAAAACAAACCACAAAATGAGCTTTAGGACTCGCTTGCCATGGGTTCAAACCCCACCCATTGCATGGTTTCCCTCTTGAAAACAACTAGAGGTTGGTTGGTAATGAAGGGAGGGTGTTAAAGACTCTAGGCCCCTTTACACTTATTGAATATTCTGTGTACTCATTGTGCCCCTGCTATACATAGGCAATATTTTCTACCATCTGAAAGTTCTCTTACTTTCATATGGAGTGATTTCAGTGTGGAGGTTTGAGACCAGTCCCTCCCGCATTTTCTAGGGCGTAAATTATGATGTCCCTTTCTCGCCCATGTTCCAAGGGGTACAGCTGAAGGGACTTATAATGTTCCCAAGCAGTTCAGATGCTTGATTGAATCTATACAGGCAGTGAAGGTTCTCTATTTTCCAGTTGCTGCAATCACTCCTGCCTTGAAAGGGGCCATTAGTATTCTACAGTATTCTGGCCTAGAGGGAACAAGTGACTTGAAGAGATTCATCATTTTTTTTTTTAAATGGTCTGTCATATTCTTTGTGATTGCATAGTAACATTATTGTGATCTATGAATGTAAATTGTCTGATATTGTCACTCCCAAGTCTCTCACATTGATCTTCCACTCTACAGTCCTTAGGAAAGCTTTTGACAC